TTTTTCATCTTCTTCCCTTTTTTTTTTTTTTTTGGAAAAATTTATGACGCATATGTTGCGTCACAGGTTATATCAATGTTTATTAATAATGGCTATTTTAATAAATTTCAAATAATTCAAGTAATTATATATTTTTTATGTCTTCACTTGAATAAATACAACAAATACATAGGAATTGAAAAGAATCGAATCTCAAGATCATATACATATTCTGTACAGCGATATATCAAATATTGTGCGATAGATAAGAATATGGAATGAAAATATCACGCTTATACCTTTGGTAAATAGATGTGAATTGCGAATATACTAATTCCTTTTAAAATTTACTTACAAAAATTCGAAACGATCATTAAAATTTACAGTTAATCATTTCTACGTTAAATAAAATAATTACAAATAAAACATCCATTATTCGAATGCAAAAAGAGTATGTATTCAAATTGTTATCTTATAACAATGTTTAAATATAATTTATTCTTTCGAATATATTTCTCTTATTATGCATATATTCTTTTATCTAAGAAATATTCATATTTAAAAATTGTTCATTTTTTACTTCATGATGGATTGATGAATGTGTCTGTTCCTGATAAATTATTCAAAAAATCGCATGTTCATATTTCTCTCATAATTAGTTCAGATGATCGACGGATTTCTATATAATATTGTGAATCATTAATGGTTATGATTGATATTAAGTAGGCATAGAGATTGGCTATATCTTTGAATATTTGTGTTTTAATTAACGATCGATACTTTTTAATGCAGTCTTCCTTATTGTTTGCCAGATTGAAATATTCACCATTGCGAACTGCAAACGATCGTTTTTGATGAAAACTTTTCGCCTGTCAATTTGAAGGCCTTGAATTGGGGAAATAGCAATTCTCTATTCGATGGAAGATGAAAAATTGTGCGGTGTTTCGTGATCAAGATTAAAATTTTTAAAAGGTTTATAAATTCATGAAAATTATTTATTAAATTTTGTATATAGTGTCTCTAATTAATTATTAAGAAATGATTGAAAATACATAAGATATAAAATTTTTTCATTCGAGGCTTTTTTTGAGTAAATTTGAATTTTCAATTTTTCAAATTGGCTAACTTTTGATTAAATGAATTATTTATAAATAATTCTACACGATAAAAATAGACAAAAAATGTGGAAATAAATTTTTCTTATTTGAAAATTAATTTTCGAAAAAATTGAATTTAAAAATTCACTGAATATATCTTTGACTTTCAATTTCACTTTCAATTCCAATGGAAAAGGTATTAAAATATAAATAAAAAATTTTTATTCTTTCTTTGAGATTTATTTCTTTAGAAATCATCTTTGATTTGATTACAAATAATTAGACATCCTATTTAAACTTTCATTTTTCTCTGCATCATCCCTCCATTTCAGTGAAAATATCAAAAAATTCCCTTTCAACTTATACATTTCAGTAATGAGAATTCTTTTCTCTTCATTATATACATTCTTTACATTATTTTCAACTATTATTTAAATTTCATTTTTTTTTTTTCTTTTTTTTTGATCAATTCTTTTTCCCACGAAAATATCAAAAATTTTCGTCGAAATACGTATTTCAGTAATGAGAATTCTTTTCCCCTCTTTATATACATTTTTCACGTTGTTCTCAACTATTCAAACAACCCACTGTTTCTTCAGTTATTTTTCATTCTCGTTCGTGCTTTCCATTTTAATACTTTTTCACATGCACGCGCAAAAGGATTTAGCAGCAGAATATTTATCGTTAGACGACAACGTTTTCAAGTTTCTCACGTGCATAACGATTAAACATTTTGTACAGGAATTGTACATTATTGAATTTAATACTTTTAATCTATTCGACACACGTTTCATATTTACGAATTTATATAATATATATATATTTGTTATAAAATATGGAAGAAATGAGAAATAGAAATTCTGCCATTAAAATCGTAAGAAACACGAGAAATAGTTAAGGATTTAAATCAAAATAACATAAAAATGTTTGAAATTCGTGCTTTTCGCGTCTTTTCGTGATTTGAACTTGTTCGACATTAAATTTTCGTGAAAAAAACATAACACTTACCTTTTCCCCGCTGTCGCTAGGTAGATAAAACGTCAGTACCGTAAGAAAGGAAATTCCCATACATGGAATAATTATGTTCACAGTGTAGAAAAGTGTTTTTCTTCGCATTGTTATATTAAATGTAATATCCAGGTACGGCTCGTCGCAGCAGGTGTAAAATTTTTCGTTTCTGCAGAAAAAGAAAAAGAAATGGGAAATTTACAAATTAACTCGATACAAAAGAGTAGTAAATTGGTATTTAAATTATACTCATCACTTTAAATATATCGATGAATTATTTAAATTAAAAAAATTTTAAATTCACGATAAATTATTTTCATTATTCATCGATTTTTCGTATTTATCATTTTTTTTCTAAATTTAAAAGAAAATTTATCGAAACATGTGTAAAGAAAATATTGTTTCATCGTTTTCGTAGAGAAAAAGTAGATAGACGA